AGTGTCCATTTCTACTCCTACCAGCAGTGCAAGGGGCTGAGGTCACCACCTGCACTAAGGAACTGCACGGTCATTTGTTTGTTTGTTTTTTGGTACCAGAGATTGAACTCCAGACCTTGAGCTTGCAAAGCAGGTGGCAGAACCACTGAGGTAAATCCCTGGCCCTAGCACAGTCATTTGTTATCAGCTAAGGAGCCCTTAGCTGCAGGGCCCCAAGTGAGGGGGCTCAGAGACAGGCCAGGACCTACCTGGAGAGTGCTGTCGCTGAGGCAGGACACAGAAAAAAATGGACGTTTACTGGAGAACTAAGGTTGCAGTGGATGAAGGCCCAGTGTGTACCCACCCATGGCACCACTAACCTCAGTGACCCTCTGTGGATCCTCTGCCCTGCTTGCTGAACTCCTGACGGTAAGAACCCAGTTAGTGGCACTGGGGATTTAGCTCAGTGGTAGAGCACTTGCCCATCAAGTCCAAGGCCTTGGGTTCTGTCCTCAAGTCTGGGGAGCTCAGATTGGCCTCTGCATGGAGGAGGGCTGGATTTCAGGAGTGTCCAGGTGGAGCCTGCAGGCTTCAGAGCACCACCTCCCCACAGGGACACTGGCATCTGAGGTATGGATGGGCACCCATCTGCCGCTTGCTGGGATGGCCAACCTTCAGAAGGCAGGCAAGCAAACTGATTCTAAACTAGCAAACCAGGGTGCTGAATACAATCCAGCCAAATCAGGTTTTTAATTTTGGTGGCTCTAAAACCAGTGTCAGGGGCAGGCCTGGGCTGATTCCTTCAACCACTAGCACTTATGGAGTGGCCCTGGTGTGGTTTGCTCTGGTTATCAGGATGGGTCACCCGGGGTGTACCCAACAGCCAGGCAGGCTGCCTCTTCACCAGATAGCAGGGACACTGCTACCACCTGAGCTGTCAGTTTCTGTGTGTGAAGGAGGAGTGGAAGGGGCCTTCAGGGAACTGGAGTGGAGACAGGAACTCAGATGAGACTTCAGGGTCATACTGGCTGCTTAGAATGGGAAGGCACTTTGTCCATCAGAACCTGGGTTTCCTCCTTTAAAAGGATGGTGCAGAAACCATTGTAAATGAACAACCAGCCAGAGCCTAGTCTTGCATGGGCTCATGGAAGGGGTTGTTTTCTTCTTCTGGGTCTTGAGTTGCACAAACTCCAGGAAATAGGGTTCAATACAGCAAATAAGAGCCTTTCCAATCAGCCATGTGAAGTGGTGTATGCCTGTAATCCCAGCACTCTGGGAGGCTGAGGCAGGAGGACTGTGAATTAGAGGCTAGCCTGAGTTACACAGCAAGACCCTGAACTGAACTAACCAAACCAAACCCCCAATAAAACAAAACACCCAAATGAAAATCTTTCCAATTAAAGAAAGGACCTTTCCAGTAAGTTTCTAGTTGCACTAAACAGTGCTTCCCTGCATATGCCACAAGAGATAAAACTCCCCAGCAGGCTGCTCTGTGAGGGCTTTCCCATGACTGGGAATGCTCCAGAGCCTCATGTTGAATGCGAACCCCCATCACAGATGAGGTAATGGAGGGTCCAGGGGTAGAGTATGTCAGGAGAGTCAGAAAACGAGCCAAGTCCAGATCTGGCAGACTTCAAATGCCAGGCTCTTTCCCTGGTGTGGTCCAACCCAGCAGTTTGTCGCCTTGACATGCAGAGGAGTTACCTGTAAAGATTTAAAAAGTGCAGATACCCCTGGGGCCCAGAAACTATGAAGTCCTACAACTCAACAACAAAAAGATAACCCAATTTTAAAGTGGGGAGGGGCTGGGGGTGTAGCATGCTTAACATGTGTGAGGCCCTGGGTTCAATCCCCAGCAACACACACACACACACGCACATGCACACACACATGCACATGCACACGCACATGCACACGCACACGCACAGAAACAGGTAAAGGACTCTTCAGGGCCCAGCCTGACATGACTATCTTGCTGTGCCCTCCTGGGGGTCCTGTCCTTCATCCCAAGCCCTATAGGACAGTCATTAAGAGAGTCATCTGGGAGTGATGTGCTTTTTTTTTGTGGTAGTGGGGAATTGAACCTAGGGCCTTTGCACTAAGCTACATCTCCAACTCATTTTTTTTTTTTGGTACTGAGGATCGAACTTGGGTCCTTGAGCTTGTGCAGCAGGCAGCAAAACCATTGAGCTAGATCCCCGGCCCTCCAGCCCATTTTTAACATTTAACTGGTTTTGTCACTCTTCCTTCAGATTTATGTGGTTTTCTGTTTGGCCCCCTCTTCCCACAGCCTGGCTACACAAGTGCATCCTTGAACTGTCTGCCCACAGCAGCAACATACTCACTCCACATTCCTAACACCATTCATCCACAGGGTCAAGGTTCTGGTTCACAAAGCCCTTCTTATAAGAAATTCGGTGCTTGTGAAAGGACTTGTTATAAACCAGGCTTCCCAGGATGACTAGCTCCGATAAGAGGAAGATGGAAAGCAGCAGCTTGTTGGTTGTCACTTTCTGGACACTGAATGGAGAATCTTTTGACTTTCGCTCATTTTCACTTGGGTTTACTGGTCTGCTTGTGGTGTATTTCAGCTGGTCTCGTTGCTCCCTTGGCTCTTCTAGGACTTCTGAGCCAATCTGGTCAGTCTCTGTGGCAATTCGATGAGGCTGCTTAGTATTCTGGGTGGCCCAGCTGAGGCTTTCAGTGCCTTGCAGAAGCAGTGTCCTCTGAGACTGTAGCAGACTCATGCTCACTCACCAAAATACATGTGCCATACTTTAGATCTCCTTGGCCCCCAGGTATGGTTGTCAAAGGTGTGCTTCTCACTCCTCATGCAGTTTTTTTCTTCTTTCAGTACTGGAAATCAAACTCAGGACTGCGAGGCAGGCACGGTGCCACTGAGCTAAATCCCCGGCAATTCCCATGCAGTTTGGCAAGGTCCTTCTGGTAGTTTTGCAGCTTAGACATCATGGGGTTACAGGACAGGAGTGCATACCATAGTTCCTCCTCTCTTTGCCTGAGCTTCATTTGCCTCATTGCTTTTCATCAAAATCTCTGATCAATCTCTTCTCCTTGGTCTCTAGTAATAATTGCTCAGGCACACTCCCTCTCCGTAGGTCTTCATGGAGGCTGTGGGTCATGCAGCTTCATGAAAATGCTTCCAGGAGGTGGTGGAGGTGGCGGAGGTGGCCAGGGGACTGGGCCCCCTCCTCACCAAGCAGTCAGTTGCTCAGCCCTGAAGCCATCACAGCAATGGCTGTGCTGCAGCCACAGCCACCCTGTACGAGCTCTTTTATTTTTTTGTACCGGGGATCGAACTCAGGTCCTTGCACTTGAGCAGCAGGGGGCAAAACCACTGAGCTAAATCGCTGGCCACGAGCTCATTTTTGAGACAGGATCGATCTAAGTTAAGTAGCCCAGGCAGGATTTGAACTTGCCATCCTCCTGCCTCAGTTTTCCAGAGTAGGTGAATTACAGGTGTGTGCCAGCACTCCCAGCTTGAACTTCTATTTGTGTCAACAGTTTTTTTTTGTTTTGGTACTGGGGATCGAACTCGGGTCCTTACGCTTTCGAGGCAGGCAGCAGAACCACTGAGCTAAATCCCCAGCCCTGTGTTAACAGTTTGAAAAAACTCAGGTATATTTGGTGGTCAAAGCCCACCTTTGTCTAGTTACCATATAAACCTCTTCCTCCTGTCTTGTGAGGGGATCCACCTGTTTTGCTGCCGCCCCATGATTCTGTCCCTAATAACTCCAACCTGCACAATTTTGGATTTGCTCTTTGGTCTTTCAGCACTTTCCACCTTTGGTGGCTGGTTCTTGTACATTGGGTTTCCCCGAAACAGGACTTATTGGCACTTTCCCAAAGAACATATACAAATGGCCAGTAGGCACATGCAAAGATGGTCAGTGCCATCAAGGAAATGCAAATCAAACAACCAAGCTGCACCTTCAGAGTTGGGTATGATGGTGTACACTGTAATCCCAGTGCTCTGGGAAGCTGAGGCAGGGAGATAGCAAGTTTAAGGCTAGCCTAGTCTAGGTAATGAGTTCAAGATCAGTGTGGACTACACAGCAAGACCTTGACTCAAAAAACTGGAGAAAAAAAAAAGATGTCACATCATGCTCATGAACATGGGTATTAAAAAGAAAGCCATCTGTAATGGGGCATGCCTGTAATCCCAGCTACTCTTGTTGAGAGGCTGAGACAGGATTTCAAGTTCAAGGCTAGCCTGAGGAACTTAGCAAGACCCTGTTGCAAAAAACAAAACAAAAGGAAAAGAAAAAAGAAAAGAAAGAGAAAGAAAAGAGATGGAAAAAAAGAAAGGGTTGGGGGTGTAGCTCAGTGGCCGAATGCTTGCTTAGTGGGATGTTCAAAGCCCTGGGTTCAACCCCCAGTACTGCAAAACAAAACAAAGCCAAACCAACGAAACAAAAGCAAAATAACAAGTATTGACAAGGAGAAAATAAAGCGTTGACAAAGACATGGAGAAATAAGTTATCCTGGTATGTCACTGTTGAGACTATAAAATGGTGCAACCACTGTGGAAGCTTGGTGGTCCCTCCAAAAATTAAAACAGGGTTACCAAATGATCCAGCAATTTCATTCTCAGTCATAATCCCAAAATGACTGAAAACAACTAGTCAAATATTCATACACAAATGTTCATAGCAGCACTGTTCACAATTGCTAAAATGTAGAAACTCAAATGTCCAACTGACAAGCATAAAAGTTACCTGTGGTCCACTGTGGCCCCAAAATACTGTCTTGATTCTCTCAAGGGTGACCACATTCACATAACCTATTAAGTATATTTTTATAATTATTTATTTCAATGTTAAAATTTTTTTAGATTTTGGTGCTGGGGATCACACCAACATCCCAGGCTTGTTTTTAAATTTCTCACTGTGCCACACACACACACACACACACACACACACACACACACACACGGGAAAGGGGGTATATTTAACTCAGTTTGTAGAAGTTTTAGTCCATAATCGACTAGCTCCAAAGCAGGGTGGCATTATGCCTAACTTATAAATAAAACTTTATTACAGGTATGTTAATGAAAAATCAGTATATTGTGTATGGGTTTCAGTACTCTCCAAGTTTCAGGCATCTACGGGGAATCCTGGAGCGTATTCCCCACAAATAGGGGGACTACTGTATACACAATGAAAAATTATTCAGCCATAAAAATAAAGTACTGAGCCATGCTCCAATGTGGATGAACCTTATAGACACCAGGCTAAGTGAGAGAAGTCAGACACAGCTCATGTATTATGTGATTCTATTGATATAAAATGTCCAGAATAGGTAAACCTGTAGAAACAAAGTAGGTAGATGGTTGCCAGGGACTGGGAAAACCCAGCATCGCAGGCTGGGACCCACACCTGCTGACCAGGCTGCGCCAGGAACAAGGCCAGGAATCCATACTTGGAGAGCCCACTGGCCTGACACCCTGCCAGCAGAGACAGCTGATTTAATAAAGGGCAGAGGTTTGCAGTCACAGGGCCTGAGAACAATTTTTTTGCTAACTGCCACTGTGACCATTCCCGCTTCTCTTCTGAAGTGTAAAACACAGCCAGTCAACTATGTATTATTCACAGGGAAATATTCACAGTTCATCTCTGGCAAGGGTGGAAGACAGTGAGTGTTCTGAGTCTTGTGCTGGCAATTCTGCTCCAACTGACAAATTGGGGAGTGCACAAGTTGGGGTCAGCACTCACCATATGGCAGGGAGAAGGGCTGGACTGGGAAGGGGCCATCAGGGACAGTGCTGGTGAGCACTCCCTCCACTACTGGCTGTCACTCCTGCAAATGTCACCAGACACTATGCTGCACTGTCACTTGTCAGAGTAAATAATACATTCTTTACTAAGGCACATGAGTTAGGGATTCTTGGTTTTTAAATGAAATGGAAGTGAAACTTTTGCAGATCTGATGGTATTAGGAGAGCCACTTCCTTCCCAGGATGGCTGTGGGGAGAAGCCCCATGCAGGCTGCTCAAAGCCTGTGATGGAGGTGCTGCCTCCTCACCCAGAAAGCCCTGGGTGCTTTCTGATTTGCAGTGCAGCAGGCCACAGCTGTGGGTTCACAGCCACCAATGGTTATCTCCTCTGCTGTCCCCATCCGTGGTGGGGGAGGGGGTCACAGGGCAGCAGCATGACTTCTCAGCAGTGGCTGTGGTCATTCTTGAGCCCTGGGCAGGGCGACACTGTCCAGCAGAGCCAATCTTCTTGAGGGTGGTCTGGACTTTGTGCTCCTTAACAAAGAAAAGCCCAACTCCAAAACCCAACACCCTCCTCAGCTTCTAGGACAGTGAATAGCCACCTAGTCCTAGTTAATTCAATCTCCAGACTGAGCAAGTGGCCCCTCTACACTTTACTGCCTTCATCTATTCTGAGGACAGAAGGGCCGGGTGTGTCCAGGCTGGTGGCAAAGACTGCATTTACGAGATTTCTTTGCTGTGGACCCTGCATCTGAGGAACTGGTCCGGGGCCTTTTGCTCCTGCCTCCTGGCCAAGGTTGGGCTGCAAAAGTTCCTGTGGGAAAAGTTAAGAGGAAGGCTGAATTTAGAACTCACATCCACACTGAAAGTGGCAAGAAATACAGGTATAGTGTTAGATAGGGGTATATGGGTTACACTCCTTCTTCTCTATGAAGGACAGCTCCATGTCAAAATATGCTATGTCTACCACCTTATGCTACCTGATACTTCTAAAAATCCTAGGCTCTGGGGTATTGTCCTGATAAAGGAGCACTGGTGTCACTGTGCAGGTTCTATGTTGGCCACAGTGAATGCACCAATTAATGATAGTTCTTTAACTTGGAACGAAGACAGCAGTTCACTGCCTTGCTGAAAGTGGCCAATGAGGAAACAGATAGCTGGGAGCCCTTTGCAATCTCCCCACTACAATGCCCTGCCTTCTTTCTGTCATCTCTGGTCTGTGAGGTGGACCTACATGCTCTGCTGCCTCACCTGGGGCCACGTTCTCATCGGCCCACTGAAAGAAGCCACACTGCTGCTCCCGTGGCTTTGCACACGTGTGGAACTGGCGGCCTTTGTTGGGACCCTCCTTCTGCACTGTTCTCATGACAGCAGGTTGACTACACAAGCAGGATGTGCTGCCACCACTGCCATCATCAGGGTTGCTGAAGCCACCAAAGTGGTGCCCTGAGCCTGGTGGGTGTCCAAGTGAGCTGCCTGGGGGTCTTGTTGCAGAGGCAGGGGCTCCTCCTGCTCCAGGATGGCCACCATCGGCCCAGAGGAAGAAGTTGCAGCCACCACTGTTGCACTTGTAGAACTGCCGACCCTGGTTGGGGCCCTCTTTTCGGACGGTGAGCAGCACAGCCTCCTGGCCACAGTTGCAAGTCACAGCGTTGCTCTCACCAGTGGCAGCAGCAGGCAGGAGGGCCTGGGCCTGAGCCTGTGAGGGTCTGGTCTGTCTACTGTCAGGAGGCTGGGAGTGGCTGCTGTCCATCCTGTTCATTGACTGGCTAGCCTGCAGGTGGCCAGAGGGCTGGCTGCTTCTGGGAGGACCCCGTGAAAATTGCACGCCCAGGATCTCATTCAGGGTCTCATCACATCCACCGATGCAGCCCACAAACTCCAGGGGGATGGTTGGGGGAAGGCTCCCACGCTTGAATTTGAACTTCAACCTAGTGAGGCCAGAAGATGACACAAAACATTACCAGCTGCTCAGCATCTTCTTAGTCCACAGAGGGTGCTCCAGCCCCAGGCCATCCCTTCATTTCCTGAAGAAGCCCATGCAAGGCACCCGAAGGCCCCTGAGCTGCCAACCATGAGGCCTGTACCGTCACAGGAGCGCAGAGTGGGAGGCAGAGTATATGAAGCCACCCAATTCATCACCCATACAGATACTGCTGAAAGGTTCCATTTCTCTACACCAGTGGTTTTCTTTTTTTTTTTTTTGGTACCGGGGATCAAACTTGGGACCTTGTGCTTGAGGTGCAGGTGGCAGAACCACTGAGCTAAATCCCCAGCTCTCCAGTGGTTTTCAAAATGTGGTTCTAGAGCCCTTCAAGGTGAGATGGAAACTAAGAATACTAAAAAGCTGTGTCTAGTTTGCTCTCATTCTTCTATTCATGTCAATAGTTTTCCAGAGGTGACAACACTTGCAAGGCTGACTAAAGGGACAGTCAGGAATCTAGTCTTGCAAAAGTGTAAAGCAATGTCATTTTTTTCATTGGTAATGTATTTCTGCTTTGGAAATTAGGTATTTTACCCTAAAAGTCACTTAAAAAATTTATGTTAGTAAGCAATGAATTTCTATAAATAGATAAATATATATATTTTTGGTACCGGGGATCGAACTTGGGACCTTGAGCTCTCAAGGCACGTGGCAGAACCACTGAGCTAAATCCCTGGCCCCAACAGATAAATATTTTAAAAGATGCCTCCACTTTAACTTCAGATATGGTATATACTGAAAAACATTATCCACAAACACAAGCTCTTCAGGCTTTTCGATGGTTTCTTAGTGTAGGAGTGCTCTAGTGACCAAGGGGTTTGAGAACCACTGTTCTGCACTGGTCCTCTGGGCTTTTTGGAGGAGCCTGGACACCATATATAATATGTGAATAATTTCCTGAGCCCAATGCTGAACGATCTGCCTGGAGAGTAGAAGGGCATCTCCAAATTTCCTCAGGATGCAGGGAGCTCCCCTCAGACTGGGCCACAATGAAAACAGCAGAGCAGGATTAGGGTGGCTGGCTAGGCTGCCGAGGGAGCAGCTCAAACAATCCAGGGCCCGAGGATGGCAATCCCTGGATGCCCCACGCAGATTTCTGTAAGAGGAAGTGAAAGACGGTGTGTGGTACACCCCTTGAGAGGCACTCAGCTCACCTGTACACAGGGGCCGGTTGACAAACTGGACACACACTCTCATCCCTGCTGACCTCCAGCACTGAGTCGGGAAACCACATGGCCAGTCGGCATTCTGGGAAACTTGTACAGCCAAGGTAGAAACTGGGGAGCAGAGGAGACTGGGTCAGACTACAGGAATACAGGAGACATATGTGGCCTGTCACCCACCTGCCAAAGAAACTCTTTTAGCTGCCTGAAGAAGGCCTTCAGTTTTCTGGAGGTAATTTAATGGATACAAAGTCACTGACATTGAATGACAAAAAGCAGTCTGCATTTAATTCTCATGTCCCCGAAAAATGAGGCAGCTATTGCTGACTCTGCTCTCTACTTAAAAAGCCACCACCACCCAAGGTCAAGTCATGTACTGTGTAATGCGCGCTCTCATATAGTCTCACTTCTTGCTCATTACAATCCAGGGTGTGATTTAAGGACCTCAGTTTGTGTATGAGTAAACTGAAGCTTTGAATGGTATGGAAGTCTACCCAGGACACACAGACAGTGAGTGGGAGCCAGGTCTGGAAAGCCACCTGGTCTGAGGAAAGAATCTTTTCCCCATACTCACACCACTCATCTTCCTTGGACATTTCTTGACACCTTCTATTCGGGAAACTTGAGGACTTGACTAGTGAACCTTTGAGTCTGCCTAGGTATGATCAAGCAGACAGCAACCCTAAACTCCAATTATTTAAATGGAAAATTCACCAACTCAGAAATGGGAATTATTAGATAAACTCTGAGAAAATTTCTAGATCTCCCTGCATACCTCCAAGAAGCATTCCATCAAAAATCCCGAGATAGGGCTGGGATTTAGCTCAGTGGTTTCGTGGCCTGCTGTGCAAGCGCAAGGACCCGAGTTCGATTTCCGGTACCAAAAAAAAAAAAAAATCCCAAGATAAAACAAAGGTGTTTTTCTCCCTTATACTCCAATGATTACTAACTAGGCAAGGAAAAACCATCAGAAGCATTTATTAAGCACCAAATTACCTGCCCAAGACTAGGCTAAGCCTTGAGTGGCACCAGCTTCCACCTGCTCCCAGCCCGGGTCCCACAGGCCTCTAGTGTCTGAGAGCCAGGGAGGACTTCCTTTCCCCAGGGTCACCCAGGCCACTATGTACTGGGTAGGGAGGAGCTGGGGAACCATTTTCCTCATTTAATTGCAAGAAAGCAACACAGTGCTACAGCCCAAGGTGGGCAGTATGGAGTGGAGAAAAGCGGCAGGGTGTTGGGTTCAAATTCTACCTCTACTGTTCACCACAGCTGGCTTCTCCGAACCAGTCTCCCAGCCCACTGAGCTCCATTTTCACTTTTTTTGCAAAGTACTGGGGGCTGAACCTAGGGTCTTCACACTGAGGCACAATACCCAGCCTTTTCTATTTATTTATTTTGAGATAGGGTCTGGCTAAGTCACTAAATTGCCCAGGTTGGGCTTGAACTTGTGACACTTCCGCCTCAGCCTCCCAGAGCGCATGGCTATCACTCTTTAAAATAAAATATCTTCCTTATGCCTGTCTTGCAAGCACAAGGTCCTGAGTTTGATCCCCCGGAGGCCCCCCCCCCCAATAAAATACCTTCCTTGCCGGGCACTGTGGTGTATGCCTGTAATCCCAGCACCTGGGAAGCTGAGGCAGGAGGATCACCATGAGTTCGAGGCCAGCCTAGACTACACAGTGAGTTCAAAGTTCAAGGCCAACTTGAACTATATAGGAGACCCTGTCTCAAAAAACAAACAAAAAAGCATCCTTGCAGGGAGTTATGCAGACCCAATGAGATGTCTGCTGAACACCCCTGCATCATGATGGACAGAAGGCTGGCACAGTAGGCATGGCTGCCTCCATTTTTCAGCACTTCTTCCTCCATGAACTTCCTGCAGTAGCCAGCTGTTGGTCTGGATAGCTGGAGCAGGACAGGCAACCTGATTCTGGGGGTAAACTGCCTACCCTAAAAAACTAGGCAATAAATATCCTGTAGTCTTGCCTCTTTTCAAATTCCCACCCTTAACACAGCTTTGTGAAGTAGATCCTATTGAGCTTATTTTATAGAAAAACAATCAGAGTAGTCAAGTAAATTGCCTCAGGTCATATAGCTTACATGTAGCAGAACTGGGATCTGAACTCAGACATATCTGGATCTGAAGCTCACACGTCACCATTTGTTACATGTTGGGTAAACGTCATTCCAATGTAGAAGACCAAAACAACAAAAACAAAAACAAAAAAACCACACTACTTCTCATTCTCCCACTTACGTTGTTCCCACAACACTTCACACCCAGATCCCACTCTGCTATCCTTCTGGCTCTAACACCTTGCCCAGGGGCCAGCAGCAAGCCCATCTTTAACTCACGACACGGACAACAGGTAACAGGGTCTTTCAGAGCTGGCCGGCCAACAATGCAGGTACTGGCAAGCAGAGGTGGGGGAGAAGCCGGACACTGACCCACCACTCTTCTTGGTCTTTAGGACTATGTCTTTGTTGCACTGTGGGCACTTCCGGATGGGCTCTGGCATGGCTGGGTAGATCTCTTCTTGCTGGGGCGTCTCTGTCCCTTCTCCAAAGTACTGAGACAAGGCCTCGTCCAACCTGAAGGAAAGACAAAGATACACAACAGCTGGCAATTACTGCAAAGGCACTGATGAGACGTGTATGTGTTCCTAAAACACACAGCAAGGAACTAGCTGATCTGATGCAGAAAAGGCAGAGAGACTGGGCTCAAAAACCAGCCCTGGCTCCCCTCAGACTCCTGGCTCTTGGAAGGAACCCAGCTACAGGCTCACATATGAAACTACACTTGGTTCATGTACAAACTCTAGAGTGTCTGTCAGCATTTAATGCTAGCTCATGCATTTCTTTTCAAAATTGGCATCAGATAGCATGAAGAATGAAAAACTCTGCAAAACTGTCATTTTCTACCATCCACATAGATGGTATGGGATTTATTTCCCTCACACACCATGCAACTGTCCAGGTGTGAATTTGGAATTCATGTCAGACCTTATTATGGTTTATATCTAGACATCCCCTCAAAGCCTCAGGTCTCAAAGGTGGGGCTTTTGAAAGGTGATTAGATTATGGGACAGTAAGGCTGAGTTGCTGGTAGAAGGTAAGTTCTGGCTGGAAGAGGCGGGTCACTGTGGGTATAACCAAGAATGTATTTTCATTCCCACCTCACCTCCTCCCTTGACTCTTTCTGCTTCCCGTCCACCATGCTGTGAGCAGCTCTTCTCCACCATGCCCCTCTGCCATGCCCTCCTGCCTTAGAGCCAGCTGACAATGGACTGAAATGTGAGCCAAAATAAGCCACTCCTCCTTCAAGTTGCAAATGTTGGGTATTTTGCCTCAGCAATGAGAAAGTGACTAAGAACTCAAAGATTGAGGGCTCAGTCCCCAAGACTGCCAGAACTTCAGAGGCCAGTGGTAAATTCCAAATTGTGAACTGTGCTTCTAAGCCAACTGGCTATAAACTGGGTTTCTCATAAGCCCCTTCTCAGGTTTAAGGTGCTAGAGAACTCTGATGAACAGTTAGATGGAAGAGATGTGCGGGGCAAGGAACACAGAAGGGATATGGAGTTTCCATGGTGCCTCTGTGTGCCACCTTCCAGAACCTCCACACTTAGCTACTGAAAAACTCTTAGAAGCCCATACTTTTGGGGTTTTATGGCACTTTTATTACTGAGGCATGATTGATAAGTTGTTGACCACAGGTGATCAACTCAAGTTTCAGGCCTGTCTACCATCCCGAGAGGTGGTAAGGGTGGGGTGGAGGCAGAATGGTGAAGCTGAGAGTTCCAACCTCTAATCATATGGTTGGTCCTTGGTGACAAGACCCCCATCCAATGGGGGCTGCCAATGTCTGCCTCTCTGCCAGTCATCTGATTAGCAAACAAGACACTCCCTGCTTTGGAGATTTCAGGGGTTTTAGGACCTGTGGTGTCAGGAAATGAGTGTTTGGTGGTTTTTTTTGGGTACCGGGGATTGAACTCGGGACCTTGTGCTTATGGGGCAGGTGCCGGAACCACTGAGCTAAATTCCTGGCCCAGTGTCAGGAAATGAGAACCAAATATATATACATATATGTACATATATCTCATATAAATTACAGTATCACAAGTAGAAAATGTGCTATATTTCTAAGTAACAAAACAGACACATGCTTCTTGCTAAATGGCCAACACCATTTACTCATTCTTTTATTTATTTTGTGGTATTGGAGATCAAACTCAGGGCCTTCGTACTGAGCTACATCCCCAGCCCTTTTTTATTCTGAGACAGGGTCTCACTAAATCACTAAAGTGCTGAGGCTGGGCTTGATCCTCCTGCCTTAGCTTTCCAAAGTACTGGGATTACAGGTGTAATCTTGGCTTAAGTGGACAACTCTGTTCCAGATAACAAATAGATCATATACCAGGACTTGGATTTACTGATTTAAAGACCATATTGCTGGGTGAGGTAGCACATGCCTATAATCATAGCTACTTGGGATGTTGAGGCAGGAAAATGACAAGTCTGAGGCCAAACTTGGAAACCATGGAAAAGTAGAGTACTCAAAGGTAGAATACCTGCCTAGCATGTGCAAGGCCCAGGGTACAATCCCCACCAGGGGCCTTCACACTGAACTGCACACCTGTAATCCCAGCACTCTGGGACAACTGCAAGTTTGAGCCCAGCTTGGGGAACTTAGTGAGATCCTTAGTGAGTCTCACCTATGTAGTTCAGGCTGGCCTTGAACTCACTATGTAGCTCAGGCTGACCTTGAACTTGTAGAGATCCTCCTGCCTCAGCCTCCTGAGTGCTAGGAATTATAGGCATGAGCCCCCACGGCTGGCTAAGCCTGTCTCAAAATTTTAAAAAAAATTAAAAAGGGTTGGGGATGTAGCCCAGTGCAAAAAACTTGAAATAACACCCCCACCCCGACCAGTTCAAATTAATTGGGGCAGCTTGTTTTTTTTGGTACCGGGGATCAAACTCAGGTCCTTGCGCTTGCGCAGCAGGTGTCAAAACAATGATACTAATATTGTTATACTTTTGTTCAAATTTATTTTATTTTGTTTGTCTTTTTTTTGTACCAGGGATCGAACTTGGGATCTTGCGCTTGCATGGCAGGTGCCAGAACCACTGAGCTAAATCCCCGGCCTGTTTTGATTATTTCAGAGGAAGAAAACCCAAAGGACCACAGCCTGTGTGGCCAGCTTCCCCAACAGTTAATGAGGCCACTGGTAAATAAAATCCCGCAGGGTCAGTATCCCAAAGAGCATGGGTCAGGAGTAGCCGCACCCCCTTGTTTCTGCTGTCCCCAAGAACTCTCACTTCTCATCAGAATTGCTATCACCAAGGCCTGGGGCTACAGGACCTCTGGGGCAAGAAAGCAGGGTCTGGAACTTACTTCTTTGCCTTAGCCACTGCTTCAATGAAAACCTGTTTATATTTCTGCACCTGCTGCCTCAGAACTACAGACTTGTCCTTCTTGCCTTCACAGATCAGTTTCAGATCAGCTTCCAGCTCAGCCCGGAGGTCAGGCTTAGACATCTCATAGCCCATGGAATCATAACCTGTAGGATAGAGGAGTGCTCTGTGAGGTTCCACACAAAACCTGCAGGGCTTGGGCAATCTCCCTCCTCCTTTACCTTCCACTAGTCCCATGCCCAGGTGCCCAGGGAGGAACCGCTTGTCGGAAGTGAGCCCAACATACATCCGGGCTTTGATGGTCTCAATGTGCTCCGCATGAGTGGCATCAGTACCTGGAAGCCATTTCCTGGTTACTTTGAGGCAACATAGACAGCTGTACCCACACTACCTGTTGATACCTTGGTCACCCTGGGCCCCTCTTCTACTTGGGCAGCCAAGGAAGGAGAGATGCCTCTATGCACATCTGGCTACAAATTATAGTGGTGACTTCAACTCTCCTGCCCGCTTCCAACCAATGACTTATCTTCACTATCAATTCCAGCTTTACAACTCCTGCTTTTTTTCATTTGTTTTTGTTTTTGTTTTGTTGATACTGTACAACTCCTGCTTTAAATCCTTCTCTCCTTCAAGTCAAGACCAAAGCTACAACCCAGCTCATCTCAACTGTATCATTTCCATGTGCAACCTCCTCATATCTGCCCATACTGGCCTCTTTCTCCACCCAACTTAGTCTAAGCTGTGGCCAAAGGGACCTTTTAAAATGTAGCTATGCTATTAGAAAATGCAAACCAACAACACACCCAGCTGTGTGGGTGTAAGACAGATAACAAGTGCTGATGTAACAAACAGGACCCTTGTACATTGCTAATGGGAATGTAAAATGGGGTGCCACTTTGGAAAACAGTTGCTCCAAAAAGTGATCCAGCAGTTTCATTCCTAGTTATATACAAGACACATATCCATACAAAAACTTGTACATGACTATTTACAAGAGCATTATTCATAATAGCTCCAAAGTAGAAACAACCCAAGTGTCTACCAACTGACGAATATAAAATATGGTCAATATATGCAATAAAAAAATAGAAGAATAGTAAAGAATGAAGTTCTGACATGGTTCAACAAAGATGATCCTTGAGAATATTATGCTAAGTTAAGGAAATCACTTAGAAAAGACTATATATTGCATGATTCCATTTACGTGAAAGATCTAAAATAGTTAGAAAGATTGGTGGTTGCCTAGGGCTGGAGGACGGGATTAGAAAAAAGGGATATTGGGTTTCTTTTTGAGACAATGAAAATGTTCTAAAACTGACTAGTGATGGATGCACTATATTGTAAATACACCAAAAAACACTGAATTGGGGGTTGGGGATGTGGCTCAGTGTTAGCGTACCTGACCAGGATGTGTGACATCCTGGCTTCCATCCCTAGGACTGCAAAAACAAAACACTGAACTGTACATTTTATTTTGTATTTGCAGTGCTGGAGATGAAACCCAAGGCCTTGTGTGCACTAGGCAAGCTCTACCACTGACCTACACCCCCAACTCTGAATTAGACAGTATATAAATCATGTCTCAATAAACCTCTTAAAATTAAGTACTTAGCTCTGTATGGCTCCTTCACTTATAAATCTTAGCTGGGTCCCTGCTCACCATGTGCAAACCTCTAAACCCTTCAGCTGGGCACACAAGGCCCTGGTCAATTGGCTCAAATCATCTCTCACCCTTAGCTTCTATGACCCCACCTCCACAGCCATAGCAGGCTTGTGCTTTCCTGTTCTCATGTCCTTCTCAAATCCTGCCAAGGCTGGGCTTGCCTTTGCCTGCTCTTAGTTTGGTTTTTCTGATAGACAGAGTGCTTAAAGGGAAAGATTCCTCTTTCTGCTTAAAGGGAAAAAATCCTCTTTTGACCCTTGTGCCTGGCACTCACACCTGCTGTTCCACAAGAACTCCTGTCTGACACTTGAAGGGTATTCACATCTGAGCTTTGAGTCACCAAAAACATCTATTTCATTTTACAGGGTGCCATGTGAGGTTTAACAACACTGGCCGAGGCTGAGGTGTGGCTCAGAGGTGGAGTGCTTTCCCAATATTTGCAAGGCTTTGGGTTTGATGCCCACCACTGAAAAGAAAAAAACTGAAATAAGAACTTCAAAAAACAAAACAAAACAAACAAACAAACAGCATACTGGCTGGTTATCTGGACCATATTTTTCTTTTTCTTTTTTTTTTTTGGTATTGGGGATTGAACTTGGGTCCTTGCGCTTGTGCAGCAGGCAGTGAAACCACTGAGCTAAATCCCCGGCCCTGGACCATATTTTTATAATGCACACCCTTTGGAACTCTGCTAACTTATAACTTACTAGCTATAACCTCTCCAGGCCTCACTTCAAAACTAACTACAAAATTAAGTAGGCTCTCCGGACGAGCTACTGACCAATGCCGTGTTTCTCCATGAGGGCGATGAGGTCAGCCTCAGTGAGCAGCTGTGGAGGGCTGGTCTCCCCATCTAGCATCTCTATTGTGCTGGGCTGAAACTGGGAGCCTTCCTCATAGACAGGGAGGAGCTACAAGGAGCAGCAGGAGTAGAGGTCAGATCATTCTGTTATCACCTTCAGGTCCTGCTCCTCAGCCAGCATGGAGTTGCAGTGTTAGCTGTCACCCCTTCCTGGGGCCCGCCTCATTACCTTGTCACTCCAGCGATCATATGGATACACATCCAGGTAGTTTCGGGCTAGAATCATGAGGCCACGGGCCACAAAGCGTTCCTGAGCAATGTCAATCTCCACAGTTGTTTCCTGTCCTTGGGCATCTTGGGAGCAGCAAGCCAGGAAATGACGAACAATCAACTCATACAGTCGCTGTTCATCTCCCTGAAGAAAGGAAAAAAGGAAAAAAGGAAAAAAAGAGCCTGAAACTCCTTCCAGAATAGTATTTTTAAAGCACACCAGTGCCATGGTAGTGTCAGCCCGGCTTATGCCACTGTCAGTCTAAAGTTCTGCAGGGAACAGGACACATAGTTGCTCAGGCCCTGCATCAAGTGGGTCCTTGGAGAGCTCATAGGGTTTGGCACTTCACACTTCACAACTCTAAAGGCTAAAGATAAGTAAGGGAGTCATTGTCCTCTCCAATCAATCTAAACAGAAATAAGACAAAGGCATAGGATTAGCAAGACACTCCTTAATACAAGATTCACAGAGTAACACTGTTTGACAGCCCATGGCCCACTCTATACATGCACGTAAGCAGTGACTTGTTAGGGTGAATTCCCATCAATGAGCTAAGCAAAGATTTAGGGAGACTCAATCTATCAAAAGATCATGGGGCATTTCCACTCATATTTTTTTTTCCACTCATATTTTTATTTCCACTCGCCTTCTAGGGAATGGAATTAATATGAGAAAATGAAAAAAAGGAAACAAAATCTTTGTAAATAGGGAGGGATGGAGGGGTTGAAGGGAGGGCAGGGCAAGGGGGAAAAAATAAGAACCAAGAGAGTATGTAAAGGTGCATATCTCCAATGATTGAATGTCATTACATTGTACACCTAAAATGTACCAATAAAAGGATATACAAAAAAAAAAAATTCGCCTTCTAAGAATTCATTCAAAGGAAATTAATTGGAGATGTGCACAAATGTTATTAACTATAGTGGATCATGTATCAAAAAAAGCTGGAAACAGCCAAGTGTGGTAGTGCATGCCTGTAATCCCAGCACTGTGGAGACTGAGGCAGAAGGACTGACACGAGTTCGAGGCTAGCCTGGGCTACATAGTTAGGTCAAGGCCAGACTGAACAACATAGTGAGACCGTCTCAAAAACCCTGAAAAAAAAGGGAGGCAACTTAAATCTTACAAAAACAGATTTGGCAAATAAATTATGATATATCAATGTGATTGTTAGGTATCTTTTTCTTTTTTGGTGATACTGGGTAAATCCAGGGCCTCCACACTGAGCTAAATCCCCCTATCCCCAGCTCCCTTTAAAAAAATTTTTTTTAAATTGAGGCAGGGTCTCACACTAAGTAAATTACTAAATTTCCCAGGCTGATTTCACACTGCCACAACCTCCTAGAGCACTGGGATTAGATGTGCCGCCACACTTGGTGTTATCATACTTTTACATATTAAAGTAAATGGCGAAATGCTCATAATACAGTATTAAAAAGTAGTTTTTACAGAGCTATTTTTTAGTTTTATTATAAGAATATTACATAGTTGTGTTGAAAATGTGGTCCTACTTATAGGGGTTGGACTATAGGCATTTTTTTCCCTTATAATCTGTTGTATTTTTTAAACTGTCTAGAATAAAGATGTGGTACTTTTTAAATGAGAAAGAATATACATAATTAAGAAGATCAAAGTTTACTTGGCTGCAGGTATCAAGCCTGAGTAGTTGCTGTTGGCACAGGGAAACAGCTGGAGCCAGGCAGAAATGAGCGCAAGCACTGTGGTGAAGCAGGGTGATGGGAAAGCCTCCAGAAGAGGAGGCTGTGGAAAACAATCTAGTCTCGGAGGATAGTTAGGCTTTCATCAGGTAGCAAGGGAACAGAAAGGCTATGAAGCTTGCTGTGGGTGTGGACACTGTGCAAGAGCCAGGGGAAGGTGAGTTGCCACATCTGTGAGGAACCAGTAAGGAAGCAGCAGAGCTGACCAAGAGTAGAGCCCACAATGGGCGACTTTTCAGGAAAGTCAGGCACAAGACTATGAAATGGAATTCTGATACTGACTCCTTTTTTTTTGAGATGGAATAGATATTTCAAAATAACTTATTTCCTAATATCAGTGCCCATAGAACAAATTCAAATCCTACTACTGACTCCTTAGCACTCGTCTCTAGATGTTAGCAGGCTCTACACTCAGGGACACCAACCTGCAAGTTACTGGTATACTTAGTGGGGTGAATTGGAGGGTGAGCTTGGTCAGACTTATTTCCATTGCGTGGGGTAGGGCCACCCCGTTCTAAAATACTCTGGGCAAAGGCCCCCCAGTCTGGATCCTGCGTTTGCTGTTCCACCAATGCCATCAAGTTTAAGTCTCTGGGGAAAATGTTTGTCTCTGTTCGGGGATAGCTGATGTACCTAAAAGAAAGGTAAACAAAAAGAAATTTGTAAGCTCTTTCACTGGTCTTTAAAAACTGAAATCCTCGGATAACATCTGTAATCACTCATCCGACAGGCAACTCAAAAGAAAAGGACCTAATGACCCACACTGACAAAAGGTTTAAGATAGGACCCGCCCTTAGGGGTGAAAAGCAGTAAGTTCTCTCTCTCTCTTTTTTTTTGGTACCGAGGATTGAACTTGGGACCTTGTGCTTGCAAGGCAGGCAGCAGAACCACTGAGCTAAATCCCCAGCTCAGCAGTAAGTTCTCTTGCTAGGATACTTGGAGAAGCCAAAAGAGAGAAGGGACAGCACAGTGTAAGGCAAAGGCCCTCTGTAGCAATACCGTGGCCTCAGATATGTCACTGGCCTCCCTTGTTCTGTTAGTCTAACCCTGTGCCGTGCGTTAGCTTTGCTGGTCCTGACAGTTCCCACAGTGTATGGTCCTGTAACTTTTCCTAAAGCATACAAAGAACAATGTTGTCCAGTAAAACTGTAATGTGTACTCTGCAATTTTAAATCTTCTATTGGTTACTTAAAAATTATTATTATTATTTTTTTGGTACCAGAGATCGAACTCAGGACCTTGTGCCTGCAAGGCAGGGAGCACAACCACTGAGCTAAATCCCCAGTCCACTTAAAAGTTATTACATGTGTAAATACCGAATAGTTTCTCTGGTGTGAAAAACTAAAAGTGTAAGTAAGGTTCAAAATGTATAATTGATAATGTGAAATAGGAAGAAAAGGTCTAAAGGAGGAGTAGGGGAAGTGGGAGGGGTAGGAGAAATGAAAGACGGGAAAAGAAAAATATGAGGAAAGGAAAAAATGGAAACAGTCTTTGTAAATAGGGAAGGGTGGAGGGAGTGAAGGGAGGGCAGGGGAATGGGGAAAAAATAAGAACCAAGATACATCATGTACAGGTACAAGATCCCAATGATGAA